GGAATGATCAAGGAGAGTGGGAGATTTTAGTGAAATGGAAAGATCTTCCAGAATTCGAGAATTCGTGGGAGTTAGCTGAAAAGTTAAAAGAAGAATTTCCAGTTTTCTTCCTTGAGGTCAAGGAAGTTTTTGAAGGGAGGGGAATTGGTAGATATGGGAGGCATTATGTGAGGAAACGTAGGAAAAAGAAAGAGAGAGAATAAGACAAATTCTGTTAGCAGAAGCACATGGGAGGGGACAGCTGGCAGCAGCTGAGTGGTAATAGGATCTAGGAATAATTCCATAAATGATCTAGGAATAATTCCATACATGCCTTCCCGAATCCTTAACTTTCATACGCCTTACTCCACTCTCCAAACCTTATACCCAACCAATCGTATTCTTACATCTATTCCTTTGAAAATATTTGGATGCACAACCTTTGTCCATAATCTTGATCCCCAACGCAGTAAACTTGACCCGAAATCCATTAAATGCATATTCCTCGGCTACTCTCCTCACCAAAAGGGATACAAATGTTATTCACCTCGAAACAAAATATTCTACCACACCATGGATGTAACCTTTTTTGAGAATCAGCCATATTACCCCAAAGTTGGCATTCAGGGGGAGAACACCTTTCCAAATGAAGTGGTAGAATCCCAACTTTTGAAACTTGAACTAACTGAACCCAAACTCACTGCAGAGGCATCAAAACCTACATCTGAACCAAATAAAAATGCAACAAAAAATGCAGAACCTACATGTGGACCAGATGAAACTACGTCGGAAAATACAGAGGAAATTGCAGTAGAAACTGCAGCCCCTACAACAGAAACTGCACCAGGAAACAACGTGAAAGTGTACTCCAGGAAGAGCAAGAAGGGAATAGAGTCCTGCACAGCTCCAAGGCAGAACCAAGAAACCTCCAAGACTCCAGAAAATGGCGTTCCCTCAGGTAATAGTGCTCCTAACTTTGTGATTGTTGATGATATTGATATTCCTATTGCGTTGAGAAAAAATGTAAGATCATGTACCAAACATCCCATTGAAAGATTTGTATCATATGGAAAATTGCCCCAAAGTTACAAGACCTTTGTAATAGCTCTTGACAATACACATATTCCAAGCAACATCCATGAGGCACTCCAAAATTCTGAATGGGCAGCAGCCGTAACAGAAGAGGTTCAGGCCTTAATTAAGAATGGCACTTGGGAGATCACAAGCCTACCTGCAGGGAAGAAGCCGGTAGGATGCAAATGGATATTCTCCATGAAGTATAATGCAGATGGGAGTGTAAATCGATACAAAGCTCGACTTGTAGCAAAGGGATTTACTCAATCATATGGAGTAGATTATTAAGAGACCTTTGCACCGGTGGCAAAACTAAACTCCGTTAGAGTTATTCTCTCTTTGGCTGCAAATTTAGATTGGTCACTCCATCAACTAAACATCAAGAATGCATTTTTAAATGGTGACCTAGAAGAGGAAGTTTATATGCAGATTCCTCCTGGACTCGAATCATCCAGCACCGCAAATACGGTGTGCAGGCTCGGGAAACCCCTTTATGGCCTCAAGCAGTCTCTAAGGGCGTGGTTTGATAGATTGACTCGAGTTGTCAAGAAAGACGGGTTCAACCAATGCCAATCAGATCACACTATGTTTGTTAAACACTCCATGGAAGGTGATCGGTCACCATTCTTTCTTGTTTTCTATCTATTATCCGGCACGACACCGCATCATTGGTAACACCTTGCTTAATTTTTTTAATGTTTTCGTCACGTATTTTAATTTTCACATTTTGTTTGTTCGTATTAGTTTAGTTTGAATTTTGGATAAATAAGACACTTTTGAAGTCTTGGTCTGGTAGTTTTTGTATTTTCAGGTCCTAGTGAAATTGCACAAGAATAGAGGCGAAGTTGACAAGTTCCGAAGCGTTTTCTCCAGAAGTCCAGTGGCTGACACGGGTGTCTGTGTCACCTGACACGGCCCGTGTCAGAAATGTTGATACTTAATTAGAAAAAAGAGGATTCCAGTGGCTGACACGGGTGCCCGTGTCACCTGACACGGCCCGTGTCAGAAAGTTTGATAGGCGAGCTTTTGTTGAAGGATTCCAGTGGCCAACACGGGTGCCCGTGTCACCTGACACGGCCCGTGTTGGCAGGCGCGAGACAGAAAAGTGAATTGTTGAAATCGATTTGTTTGAGTTCATTGAGGGTATTTCGGCTTTCTGCATAGTTGTGGGGTAATCTGACACTACTTAGACCTAGTTTTTTAGAGAATTAAGAATAGACTTTTTGCATCAGAAAAAGAAGAAATTAGAGAAGAGGAGAAGAGCGATCAAGGATTTGGGAAACGAAGATCATCAAGAGCGGAAGCAATTGAAGATCGGAGCAATTCCATTCTCTTGTAATGTTTAACTTTGAATTTGTATTTTCTTTGAATATTATGAGAAGCTAAACCCCCCAATGCTAGGGGGTGTCCCTGAATTGCTTTTGTGATGAAGTGATGAATCGAATTTCTATACTTCTATGAAATCTATGTTTTTATGTATTCAATGTATTATACAATTTCTTATTGCTTGTCCTATTAGAAAATAGAGTATTGATCTATGGGTAAAGTAGGTTGGACATATCACTTTATCGCTAATTGTATAATATCACTAATCTCTCTTAGGAATAAGGATCTAATAGTGATGACTGTAAATTCTTGATATTTATATATGTGCTTGACATAATTTTGAATAACTAAGGAATTAGGATTTAAAATTATATGTTAATGGTTTCTTGCTAAGGAATTAGGGGAAATAACTCTTGAGAATCGATATTGGATCACATTAACATAGATGGTATAAAATAGAGGTTCAGTTTATTACGGAGCAATTCATACATCTTATTCCTAGCATGCTTCATCATATTGTGTAAACACTCTTTACTTTTTGTTTTAATATTCACAGTGCAAATTATTATTACCTATCTTCAAACCACACCAATGTTCTTTTGTTTAATTGAATCATTATAAACATTGATAGTTCTAACGCAGTCCTCGAGATCGATACACGGGATAACTTCCTTTTATTACTACATTGGTAAAAATAGTACACTTGCTATTTTATCGATCAGAAAGAAAGGTAGCTTTGTTTATTGTTTATGTGGATGATATCGTTATTACAGGAAATGATTATGATCAAATTGATCATTTAAAGGGACTCTTGGAAAAGGAATTTGAAGTTAAGGACTTGGGACAACTTAAGTATTTTTTAGGGATGGAAGTTGCTCGAACAAAGGACGGTATCTATGTATCACAAAGGAAATACACCCTTGACTTACTTCAAGAAACTGGAATGCTTGGGTGCAAGGCAGCTAATACACCAATAGAACAAATAAAAGAAAGAGAAGATGAAAGTCCACCCGCCGACAAAGATAGATATCAAAGTCTAGTTGGGAAACTAATCTACCTATCTCACACTAGGCCCGACATTGGGTTCGCTATAAGCTTGGCTAGTCGCTACATGTCAAATCCAACCGAGTCTACCATGAAAATGGCGAATAGAATCCTCCAATACCTCAAAGGCACACCAGGCCGAGGCCTCCACTTCAAGAGGAATTCAAACAGGGACATTGAAGTTTATACAGATTCAGATGGGGCAGGATGCTCCACAGACAGAAAATCGACTACAAGTTATTGTTCATTTGTGTGGGAGAACCTAGTAACTTGGCGAAGCAAGAAACAATCTGTAGTGGCGAGGAGTTGTGCAGAAGCAGAATTTAGAGTTATGGCCCTAGGTATTTGTGAAGGAATGTGGCTTAAGAGCATGCTAGATGAAATCAAAATTCAAGTGAACTGTGAGGTTACTATGCGATAACAACGTTGTTATAAGCATTGCAAAGAACCCAGTCCAACATGATAGAATAAAACATGTGGAAATTGACCGACACTTCATTAAAGAAAAAATTGATCATAAGATTATAAGTACTGATCATATCCCATCATGCTAGCAAACTGCAGATATCTTAACCAAGGCTCTTTCAAGGAATACTTATGAAAATATCAAATTCAATCTGGGTATGATAGACATCTATCACCCAGATTGAGGGGGAGTGTTGAAGATTAGCACATATCAAATCATAATCATTTGATTCTGATTTGTCAAGTTGTTACAAAACAGTGGTGTAAATAGATTTATTATCTATTATTGTCATTTTCTTATTTAGGTAGAAACAATTATAGGAAATTATTTCTCTGTTTATTAACAAATTAGTGCATTGTATTGTATATATACCTCAAAATGAAATATACAACATATTTCTATACCGACTAAAACATAATATTACTGCTGAGAGGTAAGCATAGCTGAGTTTGTTTGGAGCTGGAACTCATTTTAACTAGCGTTTGGTTCTTGATTCTTGTTTATTAATGAGTTTTGCACTTTCTCATGATTTTAAAAATAATTAAAATCTTTTAAATATGAATTGGTAGTATTAAATTTAAAATAAAGTGTGGAATAAGTTAATCATGTAATTTAATTAATTAAAATAAAATAAATATAATTGATTAATAATTTAAAATGATAATTTTGACAAGTTCATTTTTGTCAATTTAGAAAGCTATTTGATTTCTCTCTTCTTTATTTCTTTTCCCCTTCTATTATACCAAATAATCATTCAAATCTACTCTATTTCTTACTTATTTCTAAAAAAAATTTAAGTGAGTGTTATTTTTCAACTCCTTAGTGTGATTGCATTGGCTTGCTCTCTAGAATTGGGTCCGGCATATTCCTTGGACTATTGTCAGAAGGTTCCCTAGTTGGCAAACTTGAACTGATATAGGCCTGATAAATCGACCTTCTAACGTTTTATACTATTGGCAATTTGGCAGGAAAATTTGGTGCTTTTAACTAGTAATCATATCTACTAGAGCCAACCACAGCCAAACATAACATACCAATTCACTTCAAAGACCAATTAGAGACAATGAATTCCACTGAACAAGAACTAAACTTTAATTGTCAAATTACTTACCTCAGCATTATTGCTTCCACTGATATGACTGTCTTGGAAATGCTTGCAGTCACAAAAGCTTGTTTTTTATGCTCCTTCTGCTGTCGGAAACTCCATATGTCTAAAGCTTCTGAACCTCCCTTCTTGATCTGTACAAACCTGTACAAAGGTGGATGTTAAGAATTTCCACAATCTTTGAAACGATTTTTCTAAAAGAAATTAAACCGAATAAAATAGTACAGAAAATAGTTGACAAACACCTACACGAGATGTATATAAATATCATCTCACTCCACATTGAATGCTAAGTTTCAAACATATATTGTCTCTGAATCTGATGCAGACATCACTTTGTTGTTTCATAGCACCTATGTAAACAAAACGACCGTAAAAACTTAGTAACATATCATATCACTAATTTGACATTTTACATTACAAGAACCAAAAAACAACAGCTTCACATAAATAACAAACTGCCCTCTGAAATGCATGCTATCTTTACCCGCCTCTTTTGGGAATATTAACAATGTTGCAACTCCAGTGAGGCCATTTCATTGCGAAGCTGAAGAGCCCTATCGTGGTTTCCCTTCTGCATGTGACCAGCAATCAACGTCTCATATATAGTCACACTTGGAACCAACAATCGACCTTTCATAATCCTCAAATACTTCTCGGCTTCTTCAACCTTTCCAAAACGGCACAAACACTGAATCATGGACGAATAAACAGGCAATCCAGGACACATAGACTTATACTCCATTTCATAATATATCTTAAGAACACCCTGAACCTTATCATTTCTCGCATAACCACGTATCAAATGTGAATAAGTATCATCACTCGGCGAAAACCCTTTATCTAACAACACAGTCAAAACATCATTCACCTTCTCCACATCTCCATTCTCACCAAGCTTCTCCGCCACCTTATCAAACGTTAAACAACTAGGAACAAACCCAGCACTCAACATTTCCTCAAAAACACTCCAACACTCCTTCAACCGCCCCGTATCCGCACACCCAACGATAACAAACTCATAAGTCTCATCATAAGCTCTCAACCCCTTCCCTTCCATTTCCCGCAACAACCCAATCGCCTCTCCAATCTTCCCCTTCTCACAAAACGCTTCAATAAACGAAGTATAAACAAACGAATTCTCACGAAAACCTCGCCTCACCATCTCATTATACATCTCCAAAGCAGAATCCAAATCCCCTAACCTAACCTTAACACAAACAATCAACGAGTAAGCAACCAAATCACCAATCAAATTCTTCTGCAACAATCTCTTCACCAATGTAACTAACTTAACCAACTCACCTTCTCCATCCTTTTCCTTTTCCAACATTCTCAATATAAGACTCGAATTAACAATAACCGAAGGAGAAAAGGAATCTCTCTTCCCGATAATCCGATCCACGGAATCAACACTCCTCTGTAACAACCCCTCTTTACAAATCACATCAATCATAATTCTCAACGTAACTACATTCGGATAAATCCTCTTCCCAATCATATAACCATAAACCTCCCAAACAGTTGAAAAACGGTTACACTTGACAGCAACATGAAGCAAACAATTAAAACTCGATAAACCAACACAAAACCCTAATTCATCAACGTAAGAACAAACAGCGAAAGCAACTTCGGTTAATCTCAATTTGGCGTATGCTTTGATTAACAGATCGAGAACCTGAAGGTGAGAACCGGAAGAAACAAGTTCGGAGGTGTTTACGAGAGAATCGACAACGGCGCGAACCGAATCAGGATCGGTGTTTTGATTAGCGAGGGATAGGAGTAATGCTTTAGCGTCGGTGATTAAGTTTGCGTGGAGTAAGAGGTTGATGGTTATTGAGTAAGATTGAAGAGTGTGTTGAAAACGGTGCGTTTTGGAGGACCAGTGGAAGAAGGATAATGCATTTTTAGCGTCGGTTGGGGTTTTGAATTGGGAGAGGATTTGTTCTACTAGGGAGTTGGTTAGTTGGATGGAGGTGAATTTGTGGGTGATGCTTTCCCAGTCTTGTTTTGTTCTGAATGAGTTGCATATTGAAGTGATGATATTTGAGTTTGATGAGGTGAAGAGTGTTGTGTGTGAGTGGGGTTTGTAGAAACTGAGTCTGGTTAAGAGCTTCAGGGGTTTCCAACTGAAACTCATTTCTGTCTATTTCTCTGCAGAATAATGTGCCTCACTCGGTGCCTCTTTTATTTTTCAAATTGTAATGATTGTTTGTAAAGTTACTTGTTACTCACAAACTTGTTACTATTGGATTATGATAAATTAACATCTATTATACATGTAGAACGGGCAATTCGGACTTCCGAGCCCGCTTCGGGCCGGTCCGTGATGGATTTGGATCTTTGATATATTAGATTTAAAAGTTTGGAATTTAAACGGACTACAATTAAATTATTTAAGTTGGGCTCTTCACAGGTTTCAATTATTCGAGTCGATCTACATTATATTTAATATTTATTTTTAAAATTAAAAAAAAATAAAAATTAATATACTATATAATAAAAACTAAAATATATATAAACATTGAGTATAAAAAATATTACATACATAACATCTAAGATAAATCATCTCATAAATATACTATTTCAATCTAATAATCAAGATTCAAGCGTAAAGAACTACTCACCCTATTTGATTTAAGAATTAAACTTCAATAAAATTAATTTATACATAATAATTTATTAATTATAAAATATAGAAAATAATCAACATTCATATCAATTATATTCGATATTTAAAATAAATCAAATAAATGTTGTATCTATATAAGCTAATTCTTAAAGTGAGATTGGTGTGAAAGGTTAGATATTACTATAGTGAATTTAAAAAAATAAGGGCATTATTAGTAAAGTATGTTATAATATATGTATAAAAAAAAAAGTGGGTCGGACTAGTCCAGTTAGACTTCGGGCTTTTAACGGGCCGAGCTTAAAATTCCGGATAATAAACGGGTTCAATTTTTTGTGTTCAATCCCGAATTTTTTTACAGGTTTTCGGCGTAGCCCGGTTAATACGATCAGTTTTATCGACTCTATATACATGTCACCTCTTATATTTCATTTTTCTCAAAATGCTCTTTTTACTATTTACTCTAAAAAAATTACATTTGCCAACAAAAAATTTGTTATTGGTCAAAGTGGGTCAAAACGAAATTTTCGGTATGCTGACCAAATATTTGGTACTCCAATTTCGGCGTATACCGAAAACACTTTGCATTACGCAAATTTTCGATTGCGAAAAACTGGAAATTTCTAAATTTTTGGGTGTGATTCTTTAGAAAATTCTAAATTTCCGAGACGATTTCCAAAAGCCATTACATAAACCGGAAATTACGGAAATTTCCGGAAGGAGCGTAACACCGAAAATTTTAAATTTCCGTATAACCGAAAATTCCAGTTATGTCTGAAATTTCTGGTATGTCTGCAGATAAAATTTTATGCATTTGCAGTCTAGAGTCGGCAACATCAACTTCTTCTACGAATTCATGTACTAATGTTACATGGTTATTCATCACAAATATCGTATGTCTTCTGTTGAATTTACACATTATTATTTGTTTGTCGACCTTAAACAAATTGATGAAGTTTACTAATTATATGTTGTTGAAATTAGAATATTTTTTAATCTCGACCTAAAGTTCTATAATGGGTATAGTCTATTAGAAAAAGTATGGTATTATTGTTGTTACAATTCGTTTCGATTTGGCTAATGAAATATGAGAGAGGAAGGATAAATTGATTATTGGTTGTGATAGAGGAGGGAATTTCAAAAGAAAAAAAAGGAATTTGGGTCCACATCTAATGACATATATACTATGAAAGTTAAATTCCCATTTAGGATGAGATTTGTTTCGAGTGGTATCGGTTGGAAGGTGATGGTTAGATGTGGGATACATAATCATAGACTAGATAAGGGCTTGGACAACAATGACATATTAGGACGTCTAAAAAATCATGAAAAAAAGTTTGTGAATGACATGGCGAAGTACAATATGGCACCAAGGTACATCATTTCTGCTTTGAAATACAAAGATTCAGAAAATCTCACGAGTATTACCCAGGTATATAGAGCTAGAGCAACATACAGATTGAGCAAGAAGGTGCAATGACTGAGATGAAAATGTTATTGATCCTTATTCACCAAAATAAATACATGTGTTGGACTAGAAAATGTGAGCATGAAATGTAAAGAGTACGTAAAATCAAAAAGACAAGAACATGTCGTGGATCAACGGAACAACATTATGTATTCAAATATAGAAGATGAGTTTGATGTACATTTCAAGCACTTCAAGAGTGTTTATGGTGATATTTCATCTTTTGTCAAGTATGTGAATGAAACATGGTTAACACCATATAAAGAAAGATTTGATGTTGCATAGACTAAAATAATCACTCATTTAGGGAACACAACAATAAACAGGTACTCAGATCGTGACAGTTTGATGTCATTATTATACATGTTTACGTTTCGATAATAATTTATAACATTATTATTATATTTATGGATTTTAGGGTGGAGTTTGCACATTGGAGACTAAAAAACTTGTTGACTTCAAGTCGTGGTGATTTATGTCGAAGTTGGGATGTTGTGAACACCATGTTAAAGTTGCAGCTAGGTTCCATCAGAGTGTCATTTCAAAAAAATATCGTCAATATTGAGCATCGATATAACACCTTGTTCTATGCTAAGTTGCACGTTTTTGTCTCAATATAATATATACAACTCATTGGCAAGGAACTAGAAAGAGTAAAATTTATTGATTCAAGCAAGGAGAGGTGTGGTTGTTTCACTGGATCAACACATGGGTTACCATATGCGTGCCAGCTTGCCGATTTGTAAATTTTAGGCACCCATATACCTATGGAATCAATTCATGTATTTTGGACGAAATTGCACATTTCAGAACATGGTGTGAGTCTTGAAGAGAGTAAGTGGGATCTAAAAGAAGAGTGTAAAGAGTTGAAGAAATATTTCAGTACTTTGGATATTATCAGTCAGAGGATGTTGAGGAAAAGAGTCAGTGATCTAACTTATCCATCCACAACTTCAATGTGTCAACCGCCGGTGATGTACAAGCCAAAGAGGGGAGTTAAGAAGAGTAAAAGGGTGAGGAGAGTGATGTGCATCGTGATCCTAGCCAGTGGGAATATGTTGAGGCTTCGCAGGGGAGTCATACTACAAATAGATCGTGTATAAAACCAAGTGGAAGTCAATCGTTAACCATGCTGATTGGTAGGCAACCTTCTACCAAATTTTCAAGAGATAAGTACTTGTCACAGTTTCCTGCTTTCTTTCATCCATACATCAATTATATTATTGATGTTGAATCGGATGGCAACTGTGGTTTATGTTTCATTTCATCTTTATTAGGATGGGAGGAAGATTCATGTTATTTGGTTCGGAAGCAGTTATATGCTCAAATTCATCAACACGCTAACGTGTTTTCTAAGTTGTTTTATGATACTGTTTTTGTTGTTAAGAATGTGTTACAAGTAGAACACTTGGGTCTCCAGGGTAGGGATAAATGGATGTTCCTGGTGTGGGTTACTCTATTGCTTCTAAATACAAAGTCGTATTTGTTTCCCTTTCCATGCAACTTAACATAACATTTTTACCACTTCTCATAGCTCCACCCACGTACACGAGTCGGCATAAAATCATTGTTGTTGGTTTTGTCAATGATAATCATTTGGTTCAGATAAAGTTGAAACTCGGTTGTCCATTGCCTCCCGTTACTGCTTGTTGGAAACAAAATTGTTTTAATAATGTAAAAGCATGAGAATCAGCATATGTGGGTCGCTTCAGACGTTGGGAAGATTTGTGTAAAAAGTGATTGTAATTTTTTCGGTACAAATATGTATAAAAATTATTCTATTTATACGTTAAGTCGGTTAGTTAATTTATTGTATAAATTATTCAAGTAAAATTTTAAAATTGGGAAAAACAACTCACAGTACTACTTGAAAATTGAAATTTCTGGCTTTTTTGCACCTACTAGAAATTTTTCGGTACATATAAGGAAAATAGTTACCGAAAATTTCTGGTTACATGCATACGCCATAGTAAAAACTGGTAAATTAAACGAAATTTCTGATATTCTATTGAAAATTACAGTACGAAACCGTGAATTTCCAAAATTCTGATATTTTGCACAGATTTTTCGGTAAATTTGCCATTGATAGGAGGGTGGCATGTATAATTTGGGGGTGGGATGATAATTCCTCGTTTTTTAATGGGATTTTGAATCATATCAAGGTGTCGGATCTTCCTTCTTTTCCATTTTTTGAAAGAGAAATATTTGTATAGGAGCACATTTATATCCATAAACTTTTATTAGAGAGAAAAAAATTTAAACTTGTTTTAGTTTTAATTTCTTTTTTAATTGGAATCATGTCGTGGTCGATGGTGATAATGAATGAGAGAAATATATTTATTTTTATTTTTTAATTAATAAATAATTCTAATTGATTGTTTGTAAGGTTACTTGGTACTATTGGTTTTTATGCAATTATTTTTCTTTCAAGAGAGTTTATTTCAAAAACAAAAAAAAGAGGTGTGCGTAAGAAACTCCAAATCCACCATTTTTCAATTTATAAATTTTTTTTTATTTTTTTTATTCATGCAATACTAAAAGTCTGTTTAGACATATTTATTTGAGTTTATCTGCTGCCATAAGTTTTGTACCAATGTTAGAGAGACTTGATCAAAATAGCTTATAAGATATTTCATAAAACTAGATAATCCATTCAATTATTATAGACAATATACCTAGAAGCACATACACCTATGTGAGGATCTATGTGCTAGCTGGTATAAAGATAATGATTCTACCGAGAACCTTCCTAGTGTTTTGATAACGACAACACAAATGATTGTTGAAGTTAGTGATAATAATTTTCCAACTCTCTGATCATGGTGACCAAACTTAAAGAATTGCAAATTCTCATCAAGTAGGAGATTCAAGATTTTGTTGAAGTGTTTATATTATCTATATGTATGGTAAAGGATCTTAAAGGCCTCAAAGTTGATAAAGAGAGGAAGTGTGAAAGCTCATCTGATCATGTTTGTCTAAGTGACCAGAGTTTTGGAAAAGTATGAGAGTAAATCTTAAGATATTAAGTCAAATCACACAAACA